TTGAGGCATGAGGCTCTTACTTGCTTTACTTACTGTAGCAGGCTCTTTTCTAATCCCGAGAGACGAGAAGGGCCATGGGATGTGTTCTGTCCTGCCTCAGGGAGTTTTAGGTATGCCAAGTAAAGCTGCCACCGAGGCCAGTGAATAAGCAGCACAAATGAAAGGCAACCCGTTCACACTCTCATCCAACGCTCTCTGCAGTCGCAGGGCATCCGTTCAGATGAGCTTCCTGTCCGACCCCTTTAGAAGGCCTACGATTCTGACGTATTAAAAATTCCGTTCCCTGACACATCTTGTATGTAAAATAAAGTATACACTGCAGTGATATTTCTGCTGCACTCTGCATGGTTTAGCTCAGCAGCGACTGCTGAGTAAGCCTTAGGTCGTTGCCTGGAACTTATTCCCACTAGGAAATGTAACTGTACTAGTTTGCAGCTCGATCACTTACCCTGCCCGGCCATTCTGTTCTGAGCCCTCCCCTAACCGGCATGTATAAAGTGATAAGGGGACATGGATCTGTTTTCAAATAGCTTACCCTCGTTTTATGCAGGGATAAGACTAAAAATAGATAACAACTAGGAAAGCATATGTGACAGCCAATTAGTATGGGGGGCCTTTATAAGAGTGGGGCCCTCAGGTTTCCATCTGAGCCTTTGGTTCCTGCAGTGTGGGAGGTCTGGGGAACCCCCAGAGAAAGCGGGTACGGGGCGGGAATCCTGGGGCAATTCCAGTGGGAGCTGCAGCCGCTGACTAACATGTATGGAGCACTTCAATATTTGACCCATCAGTTCATCTGCACCTGAGCCAGCTGCACAGTAGCCTTGTAAATACAGCGCTAAACATCCAGGTGGATGTCCTCGAATGTGAGGGATGTAAGTGCTTTGTCTCACTGGTCTTCAGAAGACAGATATCACATATACAGTGTCTTGAAGGTGATACTAATGCCTTCAATAGAATAATTATGCGCCTTAAAATATCATGGTCATTTGGGATCATTTGATGCTTTGGGCCCAAAAGATGTGCGGTATTGATAGAAATATAGTATGTGTATTGTATTGATTTTATGCAATCTACAGACTTTTAGTTTTTTATGTTATTAAATCTAAGCCTTAGATTTAGCATAAATTTAGACCGATTCCCTTACTTTACCCGTGAGTCTGAGGATCATGGTCACTGTGCCCCGGGGAGTGACAGTGGTGAGACTTGAAAGGAGGCCTCGCGCTCTCCCCTGCACACCTCAGGTCTTCTCCCCTTGCTAGGAGCAGCCAGGGGAACTGATGGGAAGGAAGCTTTTCCGAACCAGCAGAAAAGGGTCCCAGTCAGGAGGCGTTGACTAGGCACCTGGACGATGGTCCTCGTAGAGAAACAAAACCAAGTCCAACACCCTTCCTTCACGGAGGCAGACTTCCAGCGCAGCAAGAAGCGGGAGCCATGCTAAGGGTGCTGGATCCCCGTTCCCTCCCTCCCTGTTCTGTGATCTCAGGCAGTTCCCCGGCTTCCTGAGCCTCGGTTTCCTGGGGGGTAGGACAATAATACCCACCTCGCTGGGGAGGACGACAGGAATGGGCATGCAAAGCGCTTGGGAAGTGCCCGGCACACAGCAAAGCTTTCTGTGACTACGGATGACGGGTGACCCACTCTACTGGACACCAACAAGGCACCCCCAGGGCACTGTGTAGTCAGTGCTGGCTGCACACAGAACCGGGCACCAGGCAGAACGCAGACAGGCCTCGCCATGGAGATGCAGGAGGTGCCAGGGGGCAGAGCAGAGGCGCTAAGGCAGTGGTTCTCAACCTTCCTAATGCTGCGACCCTTTCATACAGTTCCTCATGTTGTGGTGACCCCCAACCATAATATTATTTTCGTTGCTACTTCATAACTGTAATTTTGCTAGTTATTATTCGTCATGTAAATATCTGATATGCAGGATGTATTTTCATTGTTACAAATTGAACATAATTGAAGCACAGTGATGAGCCACAAAACAATATGTAATTATATGTGTTTTCCGATGGTATTAGGCGACCCCTGTGAAAGGGTCATTCGACCCCCAAAGGGGTCGCGACCCACAGGTTGAGAACCGCTGCACTAAGGCAAGGTGCCAGGAGCCACCTTGGAGGGACGGATGGGCCTTGACTTGCTCAAGGGGAGGGGAGGGAGGAGGCTGCCAGGCGGCGGTCCGGGGTGAGCGAAGGAATGGGAGCAAGAATGAACACGATGCAGCTGGGTAGCTGGGTCCCTGGCGTTGCTCGCTGGGTCGGGAGCTGCTGCCATTGGTGGGTGTGAACAAACAACTTGGAAGGTTGTCAAAGGCCTCAAGGATTTTCCAAGTGCGTCACATGCTTTCTGCACCCAGCCTTGTCTTTCAGGCTCCCAAGGCCGATTTAGGAGAAATGATGGGATGTGGGCGAGGTGGTGGGGGTGGGGGGGACTATGCAACAGACCTCGCACCTAGGACCAAATGAATATTCGCTTTTTGCCCTGAGACGCAAAGATCATTTTAATTCCGGAGATAAACACTCTCATTTGTCAAGCTGAACTCTTTTGCGTAAAGGATCTGCGCTCAGGGGGTTCATGACTCATCCGCCCCCCGTCCCCCGCCCCCAAGGCCACTGCAACCGACGTGCAAACCCGGGAGAAAGGCTGGCGGGCGGCGGAGGGGGCCCCACGCATG